ACTGCAGTCTGATCCAAGCAGAAGACTGAAGCTTCCAGGTAGAATTTTGGTGAACTCAAGTTTTGTTTGTATGTACTTTTTTTTTTAATGAACAGTGAACTCTCCTTGGCTTAGTTCTGGAACAGCTCGGTATTTTTAAAGTTTTCTTGGTGATTACTGGGGAGGGGATTTCTTTCTGAGTTTTCTTCAGTTCATAATATTTGCACATGAGTGTTGATGGTGCTCTGTACCGGCACCTTATTCTATTACCCTCAGGAGTATTATAGTTCCCAGAAACATCCATGAGCGAGAGCTGCTTGGAAATTCAATCCTTCCTCTTCCTGACAAAACAAATCAGCTTGGAAGCAAGAGACATGGTTGCAAGACAGCAGCTGCATAAAACATTTGCAAGAGGAAACTAACCTGAAAAAAATAGGCCTGACGGAATGGCCGATATTCACCAAATCAAAGTCTGATTGGTCAGGTACTCTGATTCACATAGTTCACAATGATCAGCATGCTAATTGTAAGCAAGCAGTTAATCATAACTGATTTCTGCAGATCTCCCTTCAAAGCACCCAGTTTTATATCACATGTATCACAATGATCAATGCGAGTATTCTCAAGAGTAACAAGGAGCCAATAATAAAGAACTTTTGTATATAAACTGACAAAGATGGGCAGTCATGCGCATTAAGAACTGGACAACTTAATTAGGTAATTACAAACTTGAATGACATTCCTAGGGTTTTGATTTCTTTTTGCTAAAATCCTGAGGCATTTTTTTTAAATTAAAACAAGTGTCAGCATCCAGGGAAAGGGCAGCTGACTAGCAAGGTAGACAGGGCATGATAAGTCCAATACACAGTCCAAAGGTCAAGCCAGAAGTCTATAGACAAGCCAAGTCTGTACAGAAAAGTAGTGTAGTCCAGAGCAGGCTGAGGGTCAGAGAACCAAGGGAGGCAGACCAGTTAGGGAGGGTTGGCACCTTGCGGGTCCAGGAGGGAAGAGGTGCAGGCAGTGTTTGGGAGTAGCAGGAACAAAAGCACAAGCAGGGAACAGGAGCAGAGTTCCAAGTCTGACAGACCAGGAAGGGCTTTGTCAACATCAGGAGACCTTTGTTGCCAAGGCAGCTTCTGAGGGGAAGAGCTGGTTCTTATGTAGCTGCTCCCCAGGTGGGACTCATGAGAGCCCTTGGCAGCTGCAGTGGATTGGGGTCAGCAACCTGCAAATATCAGGGATGTTCTGCTGGCCCTTGGCCAGCAGAGGGAGCCCTGAAGCTGCCTCGGGTCTTGACAACAAGTTTAAATAAATAAATAAATTTAAATAATACAAGTAGACAGAAAGATCAAAGTGTTGGTATGCATACATGTGCATTCACACTTTCCTCCCTACCCCCCACCAAGATGATCATCTGTGAGTAAAGCTGAGCACTACAGAAGCAACCAAGACTACAGGGGGTCTAGCAGAATGAAACACAGTTGCCATACTGCTGTTTGTTGCTACCAGGCCCAGAAGGAAGAGCAGAAGCACAGCCAGTGCCACCAGGACCTTAATAAAATGGCCCACTCCTATTTGGGTACAGTTTCCATCCTAGCCACTGCGTTTTGGAGAAGGTCAACTGTTTCTACCAAGCTGCCAGAAGTCACCTTCAACAGGGCAACACCAAGAAGTCATGTCAGAGGAGTTTATTCTCTGGGATTATAATAAAGACCATATGATCAGAGTGGTTCCTCCATTTTCCATGGGGTGAAAGAGAAACATTCTGGGAGAAAGGGAATGAGTCAATTTGGACATGAGATGGTTTTGCTAAACCAGGCTGTTAGGTTTTGGGGAGCAAGCAAGCAGGCAACTCCCTTCTCTGGGCTGTTTGTGGTACCTTTAGATCTAGGTGCAATGGCCCTAAATTGAGACCCACCCAACAGCTTATTATAGCATCTTCCTATGCAGCTTTGTTTTTTCAGAAACTGGACTTATCCTGCCCATGCAGATTGCTTATTGGTCCTTTTGGATAGGAAGGTCTATAAAAGAGCCAGTGTGGTGCGGTGGAGAAGAGAGTGGTGATCTGGGTTCTAGTCCCCACTCAGCCATGGAGCCCACTGGGTGACTGTTGGCCAGCCACAGACTCTCAGCCCAGCCTACCTCACAGGGGATAAGATGGAGAGCAGGAGGAATAGAATTATGTACACCAGTCTGGGTTCTTTAAAAAGAAAAGGTAGGATATAAAACTAATAAATAAATAACTAGGGCATCCTAATACAATTCAGCCTTAACTGAGGGACAAGGTCTTTGTGAGGTGAAGCAAGTGCCTGCATCCTTTGCTTGTCCTTTATTTCTGGCTTCTAGCTTGCTGTTCAGTCCTAAGGCAATAAAATAATTGGGTCAAGTAAAGTAATGAAAATGAATTAGATCCAAAAAGCATAACAATGTAGGTTTATCTGTATAGGCTCCAATCACACACACTCTTCAAGACTGATTCCTGGTTTGTCCTTCAGTTAGGTCAGCCTAGTTTGTCTACTGGCTCTTGGGTCCTCAGATTACTGTCACAACCAAGATATGACAGTGAAGCATGATTGTGCTACCTGAGCTTGGATTTACTTATTTTATGCTTTGTGCAATTAAAGTTTTGAGTTCAGGAACTTAAGAACTTTAGAACTCTGGGAACTTAATTTGCAAGTATGTAAAAATTGTGTGTATGTAAAGATTTCAAAACAGTGTATACAAATCATGAAAACATAACAAAATAAAGACTGTATAAAATGAAAGATGCCACCTTTCTAGACTCTGAGTTCCTGGCTCAGTCCAGCATGTCTTCCGATTGTCTTCAGCACAGTGGACAGTTCCATTATAGCTCAGTCTGTTTCCCAGAATGAATAAACTGCCCCACCCCCCGATCCCCAGATGTTAGAGCCCCTAACTTCCACTGGCACTGGAGGCACAAACTTCCACTGGCTGAGCTAATTAAAAGAAAAGTGGTTTAGAAATTTAGTCACTGTTGTGCTACTAACAAGTCCTCCGCCCTGATGCTGCTCTTATTAAATACTGTATCTAACTGAAATAAAATTCCAGTTCTTGGCCTGATGTGCAGACATGGCATGCATCACTGAGATGAATGGGTGGAATGGACTGGGACTCTCTCACCTGTGTCTAACATATTTTTCAGTGAAGCACTAACATAACTTCAGGAGATGGAATACAGTGATCTATAAAATTCCATTTTCCTCACTAAGGTTCCTGTTCCTTTTATTGGCAGTTTCAAGAAGTTGTACCTTGCCTTTTTCTCTCATCCTTTTTTTCTTGGCTAATCTGCACAGGTAGGGCATTCCATTGGAGTATCAAATGTCTTGCTACTTAACTGCTCCTTGTCTGAACTTAAGTAGGGGTAATGGGTTTTGGAAATTTAGAATGGTGGTCCTAGGAGACTTTAATGTCCATGTTCTGTCTGTCTTTTCAAGGGTTCTTCAAGTCTTCATGACCACAGTGGGACTATCCTACCATGCCAATGCATGCTTTGATCACATTCTGGACTTGCTAGGGTTGGAGACGTTGCTCTGGATTTGGAGCATTTCACTTCCTGGCAACATTTCACCTCTGTTTTTTTTTCCTCCTCCATTGATGGCACACCAGTCCTCCCTCAGAGCCAGATAGATTCTTGAGGGCTTTCAAGGTGTTTTCTCCGAGCATGTTGATATTCTCTAGCCTACAGACGTGAAGTGGGCAGTTCAGCTGGATAGCAAAGGGAACTGAAAGGATGGTCAGGCCAATCCACAGTGCAGAGCTTAGATTCATGTGCTCCACCTCAGCCATCTTTATTGTGATAGCCTTACTACTGACACACACATGGTGACACAGAAGCACTAGCCAGGCCAGAGTTCCTTTTGGCACTGCCACCATTGGCAACACGCAAGGAGCCTCCCGACTAACTAGTGAGTGATGAGGGGATTGGCTTGTGGTGCTAGTATTAGGAGGAGGGGACTATAGAGAGCAACTTTCCTGTGCCTCTCACAATCTGGGTCTCGGTCTGTGTGTGATTCCAGAAGAAAGAATGGTGCGTGCAAACTTGTTAATTTCTCTGGCTTTAGTAACAGCTTTCAGTACCATTAACTAGGGTTGAGATGGACCCTGTCAGTATCCATCCCTCCAAGCATTCCTGGTTTTCCTCTTGTGTTCTGCCCAGTTTTCTGAAGTGAGCTGATAGAGGAAGGCTCACCATCCTCCGAGTGGGACAACTGGAAACCTCCTTCTGTTTCAGCTGCAGCAGCACAAAAGGCAGCTGCAGCTGGCATGGAAGAGAACACTGCTTGGCAGTAGTTCCAAGAGGCTTTCCTCCAAGCTCCTCATGATTAGCCATCTTTGGCATCACTTGTAGCCACTCAGACAGCACATGGGTCTCAGTTCCTGCCAAGTGCCCCTCAAATACTGGGCATGCTCCCCGGAGACTTGAACTCTGAGGGAATCCAACAGATTCCTACCCCAGAGCAAGTTCTTCACACATCCCTACCATTAAGCACAATATTCTTCTGCACTGACTGTCTTGGAAGGGAACTGGGGAATCCATTCCTATCTGGGTGGAAACCAGGGTGAATCAAACAAAGCAAAATGTACATTTTTTCAGGTGAAGAGGATTATTCTGTGTGGAGACTTAGCACTTCTTACAAACCAGATTTTATCATCCCATCCCACCTCATTTTCTCATATCATGGTAGTTCCAGAGAATAGAAAGTATATCCATGTGACCTTTCAAATACGATGATCATAAGAAAACATAGCCCATCATCCTCTCTCCTTGCCTCACCAATCTGTTGCTGTTTGTGAATGGAACATTCATTGTGTGATATATCATCTTCTTGTGCTCCTGCCATGTTCCGTCATGAATTATATTAATCCACCTAAAGCTAATGAGGATTAATTGCCATGGTATAGCAAACTGGCAAGGTAGGGCATGCTGCTTGGGCAATCCCACAATTCAGCCACTCATTCATCCTTGTTTATCTGTCACTCTTTCGCTCTTGTCCCAACAGGTGTGTGCCCAATCACTGTGAACATGGAGGGAAATGCACGCAAACATGGGACAGCTTTAGTTGCACCTGTGATGGAACCGGATACAGTGGAGCCACATGCCATAACTGTAAGTGACACCTGGATTCGGAACCGACTTCGAGTGGCAAGGATAATGGGCATGATCTAGTCAACGAAAAACACTGTCAAGACCCACTAAAAACCACCTTCACTGGAACCAGCAGACCTTAAAAGTCTTGCTTAGCTTCAGTAGAGGTTTTAGAATTTTAGGATTTTTTTTCTTTTTGGTCTAAGCATGCATTGTATTGCACCCTGTGTCTAACACGCCAGACAGTCTTTGAAAACAAGAACATCATTAAAATACTTCATTTGCCTAAGCAACATTTTAGTGAGAAGGACACACCCACAGGAAAAGCAGTACTTCTCTGAAATAAAAATTTATTACCCAAGGGAAAAGCACCCCCAGTAGTTCTGCACACTTCGCCTAACAGCATTTTTACTTGCCTTTTACGGATAAAATGATACAACAGGAAAATGAAAATAGTACTTCTAGGTTTGCATAGTGTTAGAACATGGATTTAAAGGCCATGGGGATATTTTCTCAGTCACTGTGGCATTAAAGCTCCTGTGATGACAGAAGTATGTGACATATGGAGCTATACAGCTGATGCAACCTTGACTTTCCTAATTCTTTTAAAATTTCAGACTAACACATTTCTTCATGTTGTTTTGAAAAGCCGTTTCTTTTTCAAAGGATTTAATTTCACCCTTACAAAGTGTCTTGAAATTCTTTCCTGTTGTTGGGGAAACAAAATCCCTTTCCAAAGTGAGATTTACCTGAAAAGTTTCAGTTTAATAGCAGCACTTCGGTAAATAGGAACTTCTTATTACTTTTTCCCCCACTTCTGAGCCTTTAAGCCACAGGAATAGTTTTCAAAAAGAAAGGAAAGGAGAAAAAACCCTAAAATAGATCATGCTCTCTGCAGAAAAGTTGATCCTGGGACCCAACACTTGGCAACATCTTGTAATGTTTAACCTCTTGTTAACTCGTCAACTCTTTTGTTTGTAATAAGACAAAAAAATATTTAAATGATATGATTCAGTTCAACGCTCTGATCAAGCTCCCTTTGTAGGGCTCATCGCAGCAATAATCAAATGGCATTGTGCAGCAATTCTCTCTTTTCATCCTGAACCTATCTTATCTGGTAAAGAAAAATATGGAAGAAGCAGTAGGGAAACGTGGGAGGGCTGCAAATTTGGACACACACACCCCCTTCTTAAAAATTCTATGAATAAGACAGGCAGTTGGACAAAAGAGGCTTGATGTCAGCGTCCGGGGTGGGGGTGGCTGACCAGCAGGTGAAGGCACCGGGATGCAGGCAGACAAGGCGTGGCAAGAGCAAGTCCGGTACACAGTCCAGAAGGTCTGAGCTGGGAGTCAAGATATAAGTCAAGTCCATACAGAAGGCAGCGTCATCAAAAGCAGGCTGAGAGTCAGAAAACAAAGGAAGACAAGTCAAGTCAGGAAAAGCCGGTACCTTGCAGGTCAGGGCAGGAGGAGGTGTAGGCAGGGTCCAGGAGTCACAGGTCCAGGAGTGCAGGCAGTAAGCAGGAGCAGAGTTCTGGGTCCAGTAGACCAGGAAGGGCTTGATCACCAAGGCAGCATCTGAGGGGAAGAGCTGGTTCTGATATAGCTCCTCCCCAGGTGGGACTCATGAGAGCCCTGGCAGCTGCAATGGACTGGGGTCAGAATCCTCCAACTACCAGGGCTGCTCTGCTGGCCCTTGGGCAGCACAGGGAGCCCTGAAGCTGCCTCTGGTTTTGACACTTGACTGGAGCACCACCATTTGGAAAAACAGCAATTTCTCAGAATAGCTGCTTCTGCAGTTTCCCTGCAAGAGCAGTCACTGGACCTCTGATTTCAGTGCTTGCATACAGCTCAGACAACCACTTAGTTGAGAGACAACCCCCTCCCTCTCTCAGTCGCACAGAGTTCTTGCATTCCACCTAAGGATTGCTTAGTCTATGGCACCTAAGACAAAGTAACCTGATTCTCTGCAAGAACTTCCTGAATCACCAACCTAGGACTGTTAGGGCACATTATTGCAATCAGTATTCTCCCCATGTTATTGCCAGAGACATCTTTTTTCTTTGTTTTATCTCCTCTACTTTTTTTTGTTTTTTTTTTTTGATACCCATACTGAGGAAGAATTCCATTAAAAACGGAAAGCCATCTTACCTATGTTGTGACTTTCAATAGGTTCTAGTAAAGCAGCAATACCCCCACTGCTGTTTTGATTTTTTCTAAAGGGACCTAGATGGCTACTGATTATTGTTGTTGTTCCAGTGCCTTTCCAGTTGTTACCTTCTTCTCTTTACTCTTCCCTCCCATATTGCCATTTTCCTTTTAATCTTTCTATCTCCTCCTGTGTACATTTTTCTACCAGTTTTTTTTTCTTTAGCTTTCCTGAATTTGCGCTATTTTCATTGTTGCTCTTTCTCCAACTATTTGCACATTTTATTTTTTTCTGTTCTTTCCCATCCCCCTTTCCACCTGTTTGGTAGATCCTAAGTAGTATCTCACTGTGTTAGTTTTGAAAGTTTCTCAGTGGTTAAGGACACAATTTAATGAGGTCGCCTGTACCCTTTAATGCTAAAAATTGTGATGGACAGCTAGACTGTGCCCCATAGTCACAGGATTGCACTGTCCAAGCAGCACACCCTTAGTCACAAAAGGGTGGCGCAATCTATGAAAACATTATAGTTGGATCCAGCCTTACAGTGTCCTCTGTACACAAGCCACTAGCATGAGAGTTCAGGCAAATATATATAGGGTTGCAGATTTTGTCTTTTTATTTCAGTGGAGCAACTCTAAGTTTGAATAGGATTATTCCAACCTAATATCTGCAAGTCTAGAAATTAGTTAAGGTTGTTAAGGTTTTTGAAAGCAGATCCCTATTGCAGACTTTTAAATGACATCATTTATATACTTCAGATCTAGATAATTGTTCTTACCCAGAAATCATTTGCCAGGGTGAAATTAAAACAGACAATGCATTTGCTCATTTTGTTTCTGTAAGGTATGATTTGGATGAATATTCCCTCTTTATTTTTGACTGTGATGAAAACGTTAATGGAGATCGGAATGCACTGATCCTTTCTCCAAATATCAACTCTGTTTAGTGCCCTAGGAGCCTGATGAGCTTTGATAATTTTGCTCATGAAATGTAAATCTTTACCCTATTAGGAAATATTCTAAATCATTTTAATAATGAGTTTATGGCAATTAAGATGACAACATGTGACTCACATCTTCTCCTTGCTGCACATGATCATTAGTACGGACAATAGGCTAATTTGATACTTGGTTAAAAACACTGCCAGACTGGTAATCAGGAAAGCAGAACATATAAAAAGCATAGGATATATTTCACATGCTGTGGCTGCTTTGATTTAACAGGGTTCAATTAGTTTTTAATGATTGCGACTCTGTTCTTTATGCAGTGAAATAATCCTTTGAGGAACTACAGAAATGTGTTATGAATTTTAAGCCTTTGCTAAATAAAACTCAATCAACAGAACTATGGCTTCATCCAGAATGACACATTGACTTACATTTTCCTTATGTGAAGGTCTGAGACACAGTGCAGGAACGTACATGCACTCTAGTCCAAGCAAACCCTTTTGGAACAGAAAACAACTACCGTGCTTTTGATATTGCTGGGTAGAGGAGGAGTGTTTAGAAAAAGGAAATGTGAGAAACACACTGTAATGAAAATAAAGACATCCATCTCACAGTCATGCAAACAAAGCACCAGGGGAAAATGGTATCTAGTATGAAACCCCTGACATCCAGAATACAAGAACTCATAGAAACATAGAAACAGAGCGAGTCAGAAGGGGTCTCCCGGGCCATCTAGTCTGACCTCCGGCACCAGCCGGCTCCGCTCACGACATGCCCACCATGTGGACGTCCAGCCTATCCTTGAACACCCTATCCTTGACTCAAGAATTAACAGAAGAGAAACAATTCTAAGATTTATTTGTATTTTCCTTTCACAACAGGAACTTCAAACTTATTCACTATGTTAGCCCCCCAATGAGTCCCACCTGCAGAATTGTGCCTTTGTTCAAGGGATGCATGCTTTGCACATTTCAACTCTTTCAAGTTGAATGTTGGAAATGTGCCGGGTTGGCATTTAGGGAGTCTCTGTCACCTTCTACTTTTAAATCCAGTGATGGTTTCGATCTCAGCTTGTCTCCAATCATCATCTCCATCCCTCAGCAATCATGGGAGGTGTAGATGAAAAGATAGGGAAGGTGCAGGGGCAGGAGAAGCTGTAGAGTCTAAGCAAATTTTTGCCCCAAAATGTTGCTAGCATTGCAAGTAACAACTAATTGAAGAGGTAGGCTATGAGGAAACTGAAGGCTTTTGGGGTCAAGTCATACCATACTTTCAGGGATGAGTGACAAAGCTGTTATTTTTCCTTTAAGATTATTCTACTGACATTTTTAAAGAGCAAAATGAAATGTAAATGCACAGTTTGCAATAATTAGGTTGACTAAAAGGGAAGCTTCTCTAATCAGTGTTATTAAAGTCAAGTCAGTAAGTGTGAAATTTTGTTCTGACCTAGCTGTGGATTTCTACTTTATTACAATATGACTTTGGGAGCAGTGTAATGATAATGCACAAGACACAGTTTTTCAATGAATATTTAAAGATAGGCCTTTTGATGGCATGCCACAAGATTTTGAACCCCAAAGCACCAGTGTGAGAATCCATAATTAATCTATCACAGCATGCCAATAATTCGATTTTGGCAAGGACTGGGCTTGTAGAGGGCATGGAGGAATCCACTTTCTGTGAGCAGAAAAGTTTGTAAGATTTTGAACCTCAGTTCACCGTGTTAAGAAAGAAAAGCGGTATGAGCTGTGGCAGAAATCAGCAACTGATTATACAAATCTACCCATCAGTTGAGGGCAATCCCTGCAGCTGATAGTTCTGCATTTATCAGAACCTTATAATGGATTCCAGTGTGAAGGAAAAGGAATGTAATTACTGACAGAGCTCTTCTGAAGGAGGTTGGGTATATTGTCATGCTTGTTCAG